CAATGTCAATAAAAAGACATCCAAGAGACGTCCAAGAGAAGGTATTTACAGTGGCGAGAGAATTACGAAGACACTTTCTACTTGTTTATTTTTATTATACTACGGATACCTATATGGTTATAGCTTCTTAGAATACATTGTTCTTTCTTTCTCTTACATGTGTACACGTCCTCTTTTTGGCTGATCACAGAAAAGCTCACATCTAGATGTATCATAAGTTATATCTCCTATTCTCTCAAATTCATCTCAAATGAAATGGACAAAATGAGAAATGATCGCGGAAATAAGAGGCTTTTGATCCCAGTTGACAAAAACCATGCAAAGATCTCGGTTACGAAAAATAAATTTTTTTTATACCAAAATCATTGAAATGACCATGAAGACAAGCACGTCACATATCTCTGCTCGTTTATATGATTGATAAACATGGTTTAGATCTCACAAATTGTACATATCGTACAATGCAGTAGTGATCTGGTTAGCTGAAGTGTAGACAGAGTTTGAATAGAATATCGATGTATTTATGAACTGACGATGTACACGTTGTGTAATACAGTTCAGGCGCGCGTAATTCAAAGATTCCGTGACCTCTTAGATTTCTTTTAAACACACATATTCTGATTTGACGGAGTCTGCTGATCACGAATATGATCTGCGATGCCTCGCAAGGATAATGGAATTCCGAAGGATTCTGAGAGATTTCCAGAGAGTCGGTTTTCCAGTAAACCTTGTCATTACGTTGCGACCCTTCATGAGGCATCGCATCTGAATGCAAGTTCTGAGGGCGTCTCATTTTGCTCAGAATTTGACGCACTGTCGATACGATGTGCTTGGGACGAAAAAGATTTCCAAAAGGCTCTTGAAGGTTTCTCAAAGTTCTGGTTTTTTGCAAAACCTACTTGGAAAACTCCAAACCTCTCAAACATATTTGTAACGTATTCAGTATTGCTTTTTACGTAGAAAACCATAATAGCAGTTCTCTAGGTGGAAATATCACTGAGTTATGGGCTTATCATCTGAAGGATTTTTCGAAAAACTCGCACTTTTCCAGTCTTTTCCTAATTTCTCCTAAAATTAAAAATGTTTTGAAAAAAACGAAGCATACTTTTGTGGAGCAAGGCAAAACGAATCTTCTGGCGTATGAAAGAAGTCTCTAGCTTTCATGGCAAAAAAACTAGATAGCATTGCGCGGTGAGAACCACAAAGTTCGAGTGATCAGAATATGTGTATTCAAAAGAAATCTAAAAGGTCGCGGAATCTTTGAATTACGCGCCTTATCAAGTAAACATAGCACATCATCTGACACTCTATGATCTTTTTTATATTAGACGTACAGTTTTTCTGAACGTTTCACCCTTTTACTGAAATATCTTGTAGAAATTGGTCAGAAATTTCTACAATTGTTACTAAAGACACTATCTCATCATTTGTCAGTTAAACATTTATTGGAAAGCTAGTATAAATTAGATGGAAAGTAAAGACAGTTTCTGCACTCAGAACTGTTTGGAGATCTAAAGCATGTTTTTCTTAAACTAGCTTAATTAGATTTTTTTCCTAATGTTTCAGCATAAAAGAATTTATTTTTCTTAACCAAGATCTTTTATCTGCTTTTCTTTGAAATTTTGTCAATTATGATCGGAAACATGTTACTTTCATGATCTTTTAAATTCAGATCCAAATGTGATGTAAAAGAGTATGTTTAACCCAAAAAACGGATGTTATTTCGTGTAGGAAAAGTGACTTCTAACTCAGGATAGTTCAAAGTTAGTACACAGCAAATCACTTCAACGTTAAATCCTTCCGTTATCTTTTGTCACACTATTGAACTGTTTTGGTATAATTTTTGACACTCTTTGGTACATTTTTTAAAAGGTAATTTTTCCATCATATTTGTTTAGCTATCTCTTCGTTGTATTTCTCAGTTTTGGTTTGTCATGTTGCCGGACTTTGCTCTTAAAATAAAAGTTACATTAAAGCTAAATGTCTTTTTGATTCACTTGTGACTTTTACCGATTAGGTAATGTTTGTCGTATGTGAAAGAAACATTTATACTTGGACTATCAGAAATTGCGTATCCGCAGATACTAGACGCTAATATCAATTGCTAACGCCAATCTAGCATTCTGTGAATGAGCGCGGTATAGCTTGACACCCAATCCTTCGTGCATCAAATAGAATCGAATTGACTTTCGCTACATCCTGAAAGCCACCAACGGCAAAACGATTTTACACTGAGAAAGTCACGATTATGATAACCAAATGACGTTTTGGTGCATTTCTCACTTTTATGTTATTTTATTGAGATCTTCCAGATGAACCTGGTTAGCTGAGTCTTTTTTATAACCCTTATCTATGTCCATGGACATGACAATTTAACCTCTTATCTATGTCCATGGACATGACAATTTAATGCAGGGCTCTAACACAAACATGTCTAGTATATAACGTCAGCCTATATATAATTTCGTTATATGAATATGTGCTGTAGCCAAAACTGGAACTCAGTTTTTGCAATCTTAGATTTACCTACAAATTCTTCAGGCAAAACTGAGGTTAGTAAATCTGAGGTATAATCAGTCAAAAATGGCATATAAACTAAGAATGAATCTAAACATAGTTTAATTTTTCGACTATAGACTAGAGATGTATTTCAGCGTAGGACGACTTTTTCCTGCATTCTATAGCTCATAGCCGATACTTATCTAATTAATCGCGTAAAGGTGGCGTAATATCTAAGCAGTAGTGGCTTTTTTTGAGGGAAGGGGGAGAATATTTTGTGTTTTGTTTGTCATCCCTCTTCATTACTTAATATATAAAACAATACCCACAGTAAGTAGAAGAAGAATAAAAACCCATAGTTAAAATATTAATCTTTAAAGTCGCTTTCAGGGTGCCAACTCAAAAGCTAAAAAAACCTAAAAATCAGAAAAGCAAAAGTGTCAAAAATCAAAACACGTATTTTTTTGCCCAAAACACGGGAGAAACCATTACATCTTAATCTTTTTTAAAACTGATCCTCATTTGCCTCTTTTTTTCTTTCTTTGTCTCGTATGGTTGAGAGAAGAAATTCAACTTCAACTGTATTTGGAAAAGAAAAACTGTTCTATTTTTTACAGTTCATACATATACGTTACAAATTCAGCTGAACAGAAAAAACAAATTAACGAAACAAATGATTTCAATCAATACTCAGTTTTTTTGCTTTATGTTTAGAGAAGAATGAAATCAAAGTTTCGAATTTTATTGGACAAAGCGCATGGAAAATATAAAAAGAGAAAAGTATGTGCTGTGTGTATCTCGACAAGATCTCGTAGCGAATGTATTGCGAGTTTTTCATGATCTCAGCAGGATCCTACCACATTTTAGGACAAAAACTAAAGCGGACTTGTATCAAGACTTTGAACAAGATCGCGATTACAACTATAAGATCGCCATTTTATTTTGCCAAGATTATCATTTTTTCGTTACACGGGAAAAAATCGTGTTCGTGCTTGGATCTCAGCAAGAATGAAACAGGAGTACTATTAGGGAATTCATATTTGTGTTTCATACTTGCATAATTTGAGTTTGATAAAAGATTCGGAATTTGTGCTTAGTAATCCCAAACAGTTTGGGTTTAGGTTCGTCATCATTTCCAACACATTCAATCAATCGAAAATGAAGAAAAAACCGACAAAGCATTCTCAATTCTTTCTTCGTTTCAGTAGTGCTTTTGCTTCACCCATGCAACGTACCAAAAGAGTATATGTTTGAGCAAACTCCACTCTTACTCTAGTGTTCAAACTTATATATGACAACACAAATCCATATGCAACGTTTCTTGGATGCAAGACGGTTCTTGGAAGAACCAAATTTAGAAAACTTTCTATATTTTATTGCTAAAACTATACCCATACAATCTTTGACGAAAATCCACGGAAAAATTCACAATTCACTTAAAGTGGAATTAAAACGGCTCCGAATTTCCAGATACACTCCGTTGTATACACTCAACATGATTAGGGATCCGCACAGTTTAAAAAGACCTTGAGAATGCTTTTTCGTATGGTTTTCACGAAACTTAATACATAAAAAAGCATTAATCTCTCAGTTCTACTCTTAAATCATGTCAGATGTGTAAAGTTGGGTATATCCGGAAATTTCGAATCAATTGGCTCAACTATGAGTGAATTATGAATTTTTCCATGGATTTCCGTCAACAATTATTCAAGAACATCCACTGACATTCTGTTTTAAAATGGATCGTAATATTAGTATGAGTGTCTGACATAGATACTATTAAATAGCCTCGAAGTGATTGCTAAAAGAGATTTAAAAGTAGAAATGATAACTGTATCCCATTTAGTGACAAATCTAAAATATCAAATCTTTCACCAAACCCATCCAAGTCTATCCCAACTACACATATTTGAATTTGGTTGATCTTCACACGGAGAAGGATGAGTATCGGTTTGGTGATTCTGTTAAAGAAGTTGATCCATTGGTCATCTATGAAAGTTGGAACAAACAAAATTTCATGATGTACATGTGAAAAGTTAGTCAGAATAATGCCTTGTTATCTCCAATCATGCTCGCGTAAGAAAAGAGGAACGGCAGCCGAATCTTGACTTCAAATAATCGTTGATTTTGAAGCACTGTTGATAATTTAGATGCCTGTAAGTTTTTACATCAATAAACGGATCATTGACTGTGAAAAAAATGTATAAATAAAATAAAGATCAGATTATTTTTTTAACAGGAAGTTTTTTAAATAGAGTACACTTAAATGCATATATATCTTGAGTTGTCTGTGAAAGAAAAAACTGAACATTTGTGAACCACCTCTATGATTTTTTTAGTACTGTGATACATATTACTATTAGTAATACACGTTAACATACAAAAATATTTTTCATCTCTTTCTGGAAAAATTTCACCGTATTAATGTATTTTTATTTATTCCTTCATCGAAAAGAAAAAATCAACAATTGACTAACAACAGAAAAGTAAGAATAATCCATCTATCTACTATTTGCTAATACAAATATTCTGATCGGCAATAATTCTCTAACAACCTGTTTTAACCTTGACCGTTGATCTTTGACAACTGTTAAACCACTTCGATGCGCTACATCATAAAATTGTAATGGAGATCTGACATAATATTGATCATCTGGATCAAATTCAGGTTGATCCGAACAATTATCTTTCAAAATAATAAGACCATGTTTTTTTAAACTTAATTTTAAACGTTTTAGTAATTGAACGGCTGAATCAGCATCTAAATCAAATCAGAATAATTAATAAATGTATGCAAGTAGTTAAGAAAAACAGAAACTAAAAAGTAGATATACAATTTCCGTTCAAAGCACTTTTTCTTCTAATACACTAGTATCTACCCGATTTTGACACAAAACTTAACAATTCTATCAGCTTTCTTCGATGGAGAATATTTCTAAACGTTTCATACAGTTTTCTTTTTCTTTTCATTAGTGTTTTTTTTTAAACATACCTAAATAACCTAAAACCCATTGTGTCCATATAACATCATAACGCGATTTATCAACAATCAAATCTGCTATACTACAACAGTATGTTTTGTCCACCTTGTCAACTAAATCTTCTCCTAGATTCAATTTTGTTTGTTCAATATATTCCGGTAATAAATCATTGATATCAATTCGATTGAAATATTTTACTAATAAATGTTTTGTCACACGACCAATACCACAACCCAATTCTAAACAATGATCATTACCCAAACGTTGATTGTATTGCTAGTACAAAAGGGAAAATAGTTTTATTCCGAAAAGAGAACTAAAAAATGATAATTGACAAAATGTAAATCGTCACATGCTTATCACATATATGTTTGACAGACAAAATTGCAACGTTATTATTGTGAAAATTCGACGTTAAACTGAAGTCTACCTGATAAGCAATTTTTTTCTATTGAAAACCTTTTTTTTTAATGCAAAGATAATCAACCTTCGCAGGGGAATATCTGTTAACAATATCTCTCACAAAGAATATATGGATATTTTTAAAAAAATTTTTTGTTGCATCTGATGCGTACGTACACCACTATGAAAACAATGTGTAATTTCTTGACAAGTTTTTCTTACTCTAAATAATGTTTTGAGTAATTGTTCTGATTCTTGAATATCGGATTCGTGTACAACAGAATAACCACCTAACATTGTATCGATTGTTGGTGCACGACTTGTATAATATTGTTTGGTAACAACTACTCTTTCGTCAACATTACTTAATTCACCTTCCATACGTTCTGCTGAAGAGTATAAAGATATTTGAGTTATCACAATTTATAACTATATTGATTAAACAAAAAGAGTTAAAAGAATATTTCTCATGGCACAATCTAATTCTAAGCAGAATAATTTATAGGATATACTTATTGAACAAGACAAATTACAAATAGACGCTAGATTGTGGATAGGTTTAGTATAATAAAAGAAAAATAGTAGTTATTTCTACAGACAATATCAATGCGATGTATACATCTGAGGTAAAAAAATGTATGATACGAAACCATAAAAAACGATCACGTACCAAAGTTTTTCGTACAGTACCGTGTTTGGATGGTAAATGGTATGTACCATCCATACCTGGTACACACTGCGTTTCGATGATATAGTACAAACGTGATACGTGCCTCGTACGTACTACAATGGCATCAACAAAAGTACGAAACCAAAAACTTTGGTACCAAACCATAAAAAGTTTCGCCTAGGATGTCACTTCAAATGTTATCAACTTATAATTCATCGGTAGTACCTTCACTACATTCGTCTTCAACATGACATGATTTGTTCACAGCTGGAGATTTCGACATAGTGATCAGAGAAGAAAAAAACAAAATAAATCTAAAACAGAAAACATGTACGTATCATTAGATGTTGACGAAGAACCTCATCTAGCAAAACAAATACTTAACTTTGTCGAACTACTTAACTTTAACAAAGTATCGAAAAAGGAAATCCAGTTCTATAAAGCTTAACCACTTCTCAAGTATATCTGATTTATATTTAAATACAAATGCACAATACTATTGAATATATTCTCAAATCTTTCTCATAGAGACAATGCGCAAAAGAGAAAGCTGGCAGTTCGAAAATACTTAGAAACTTTTCTTCTGTTCTTCTTTCAGTGAATGTACGTAAATAGAAGTACTTACTCAAATACTCTCGCTTTCTAAAAATTTTTGTGTTTTATTTACTACTTCTGGTGCTAATCTTAGTTGTCTTCTCTATTTTGTTATTTTTTTTATTACTCTTTTGGTGTTGTTTGGCTTGAGTCATTGTTACTACAGGTCGTGACCTTTGATGCCTCTCACTTTTCGTGAATAAACAATCTTAGTCTTAGTATTAGCCAGTTTTTGTCTGACGTTCTTGTGATTTTTTTCAAGAAAATGAAGTACTAGTCAAGAAATTAACAAAGTACTAAAATGACTTTACCTCCTTCTTGACCCAACACCTATTCAAATAATTAGCGCTTAACTGAGAGAGAACCCACAAAAAAATCAAATATTTGAGAAATACTTTTACATAGTTGAACAAGTGATTATAAAGCGACATTTTATAAAAGTCACTGCTAAGTTTCTGTATCATTTGTCAAGTTCCCTCCGAAACTAACAGGTAAACAAAGTACATTCACCAGTGCTAAAAAACTTCTTTTTAAAATTCGCACGAGAAAAACATAAAACAATAGCCTAAACGTGCGATAATAGTAGTAATCGTAGCTGTTTTTGTAGTATATCTTTTCTTGTAAATAGGAGTTAGTTCACAGTTCGTTTTAGCGTTTCTTGACATGAATAAGCCCAAACTAAAGAAATGAACCCAGAAACACCAAAATGAGTAAAATAATAATAAATAAATAGATGAACAAGGTCTCTTTGTGTTCTATTTGCTTATTTAGCTTTGCAATGACAAAGCGATCTCACAGCTGTATATATAATGTTTTTCGACAAACATGGGCTCAAATCAGATACATTCAGTCTGAGAAGGCGGTCATTGTAGGCTGATACCTGTAATATCAGTGATCTATATTCACGCTTTTATTGGTTCCTCTTTACCAATCATAGAAATTATGTGTCTGTGGTAGAGGTTGACTACAGCTACAGTTTTCAAAATGGCTTATTCGTCTAAAAATGAAACTCCAATTCGATTACGTTAAGAGCAAACAAAAAGTCAGAAGCAAATCGTTATAATCGACGTTAAAACTACGCTACTTATGAATTCATGCTGCTAACTTTCATCTCTGACATATCGTGACTAGCAGCTTCTAACCATCTGATCCAGTGCTTGTAACAGCACGATGACCAAACGGATTTCTTAATGTAATCCATCGTGAAATCTGGAATCCACTGTGATTTTCACGGTGACTTAATTATTTTTATTGTGTTTCTTATTATAAATCTGATTGCGATGGGAATTTTGATAGAATTGGAAATTCTTCCTGTACAATTGCCTTTATGAATTTGAGTTGATAGCGGAAAAAATCCACCATCGCAAAAATTTGATCTAAAAATACTGATCTGAACAACTAGAAATGCTTGTAAGTAGTATATTAAGTTAAATCACGAGTTCTTGTGTCCTAATTTTCCTGAATGATAATTAAAGTTCTTTAGCTTTTTACAGCGTTTTCTCTTTCATCACGTCTTAGAATAGACACTTTGAAGATTTTGCTGAACTAGAAAGATTTGATTTCTGATCTTTTCAGTTCCAATAATCAGCATTACTGTTACAGTTCTTTTACATTATAGATTTCTCGATTTAGTCAAAATGACTGATTCTCTTCATATTCCTACATGGAAAAGTACAGCAGCTACTTTATTTAATCCTTATTTAAATAGTTCAAATACAAATCTTCATCGATCACACATTTCACGAGGGTACACACTAACAAATAAAACTAACAGTAACACAATCTCGGATACTTTATCAGCGAATGATGGTACGAATATTTGCAATAATACGGAAATCAACGTAGTATCGACTAACGTCCAACCACAAATAGCTTTGAAACGGAAACTGAATACACCGGAAAATATTACTACCTATGTTCAACAAATGAGTACGTTACGTTACCTCTATAATTTTCTTTATATTAACATAGTAATGTAATATGATACATTTGTATCGAAAACATCTCTTTACCTTCTAACTCAACTAGATGTTGAAATAATTGTTCTTTTAGTTCATTCACAATTTTGTGGTAGAAGTGGTACTCCAAGTGATGTTCGATATGATGATCAAAAACTCAGAAAAAGCCGTATACCAAGTGGAAATAGTGAGAGACGGTTAATAAAACAACAAAAAGATCATAGTATGTCGAAGAGTATTGCTTATATATACATCGGTTAAATTTTTTGTTATTGTTATTATTAGAGTCTGAATGTTCATTAGCTCGACCATTAAGTGATTTTTTTGGTGCAACAGAACAGCAAATAACTCGAGTGTGTGGAACTGAAAACAGTTCAGATTCAATCGATCTTGAAAATATAAAAGCAGCTAGGTGAGAAAGAATAGTATTATACACATACAAATTACACAGTAGTGCATGGTCCTTGAATAGTCTACCAATCTCTATAGCTATAGATCTTTCTTTTTGTGATGTCAACTAATACATCTTTCAGTCGCACAAAACCCAATGTAACATTGGGTGTAATGTGTCGTGTAGCCCTAACTATAGGTGATAAAATGGCTCAGAGCAAAGAAAAGGTATATGTTTGTCACACACAAATTTATGTGTTACAGTGCACGTTTTCTTTTGGTTGGATTTGGTTTTAATATATCAACAAAATAATGACACTAATACTAAATCTACATAACATTTTTCATAATTAAAAAAACGCTTTATACATGTATTTCTAACAACAGGTGCTTTACCATAAACCGGTCGTTCTGTATTTTGCTAGTATCGCTATTCGACTTCAACGTTTAGATTATCGAAATAATCGACGCACTAAATAACTATTAAAATAGTTCTAGTTCTTTTGAATTGACGTTTGAAACTCGGCAAAATAATTCATCTTCATACCGTACTGTTTCTTCAAGATTTTGCAGTATATTATCTTCTAAATCTAGAAGTCTAATACTTTTTCTCGCATTCATAATGGTCAATCTCATGCAATACAAAATGTTCATTAAAAATATACTATTTCTGTTAAAAAATTTTTATTTTAGTAAATTGTTTATGTATACTTTTGCCATTTTGTCTCTTCTTAGACATGATTAATTACAAAATGTATCTTACAACTGTGATTTCTTTATAATAATCATTCTTACGTTAGAAGAGTATTTTTCCATATTCTAGTTGATGGCTTTTGCCGAGTTTTTGTAATCTCATCCCCAAAAAAAGCAAAAATTAAAACGAATTGAAACTCTTGAATAATCAGTTATTTAGTAGAATTAAATTTAGATGTTAAAATCAAACAGACAAGCAAAATATAGAGTGATCGATTCATTCTGAAGCATCCATGGTGTTCTGTTGTTTTTTTCCATTTTTATGCTTGTATGAGAGTTGAAATAGATTATTGTCTAGCTGCAACTACAGATTGGATGATGCTTCTTGAAGAACGAATTCTTTTCTTCCCACCAAATAACGTGATCTATAAACCTAATTTCGTCTAAAGAATTCTTTAGGCACTGCAAAAAAAAGTGCCAGAATATTTTCTTAAATTTTCACGTTTTTTCTATACTTTTTCTTTGCAATTTTCTTTTCTATACTTTATTTTAGGTTGGTTTGGAAGCCATCCGCGGTTTTCGTCTACCATCAGCTCATCTTCAGTATGAATCATATGAACATCATCCAATGAGTGCAGCTGCTGTTCTTGGAGAACGTGAAGAAAGGTTGAGTATTTTCATAAGAGATTATAACAAATTTTTCTATATCTTGCTTTTTGTAGTGTACCTCTGCGCATCGCCGATGTTTTAAATGACGACAACTTTGAACAAGAGAAAATGATTGAGGTAATAGACGATTCTATCAGTCCGTCTCGCAGAAACCAACGAAAACGACAAATAAAATCATCATTAAGTGAAAAAGAAAATTACAGTAATACTATCACATTACGAAATAGTGCGGTCAGATATCGCTCACAATCATCGTTTACACCGTCAAAAGAGAACAAAATTCAAAAATCTAAAAACTGGAGAGGAAAAAGGATGGGATCCAATTTACCCGTGTAAGAAAAAACTATTAATGTCAAAAACAAAAAAACATTCAATAATTTAACTCACTTTCTTTTTTTAGCATAAGGAGTCGATTAAAAAGACAAAATTCTGGTATTATATCACCCCCAAGACCATGCACAGCTGCCAGTACATCATCAAAATCTCGACCTGATTCAGTCGTTTTAAATTCAACCGATTCTATATCTGGCGACAGAAAGGTAAAACGAACAGTTGATAAAAATTATGTTCAGTTTTGCTTTTATTAAATGTTTATAGAACATTTTTGATCGCGAAGATACTTCTCCAAGTGTAAATATTAAAAGTGCGCCAACTAGTTCATTGAAAAGTCCAGGTAAAACAACACGACGACAACATCCGTTAAATGTACGAATTGGAGAAACGCTTGTACGATCTGTATCAGATGAGGTACGATATGTTTCGTTTAGACACTTAAAATTTTCGTATTTATTCGTTAATTTTAATGAAATAAATCTAGTAGAGAAATAAAAGTTATTCTATCATGCTAAATGTCGTTTAACGATTCTAATTTTTTGACTTTCTAAAAGATGACTTATGATCGTAAAACCAATACAGAAACTCCCAGTGGTAAGTTTCATAGTATATTTTACGCTAAAAGATATTATTTGTTATCATTTTATTACAGATCACGATCCGTTATCGCCGTCTAAACAAATGTTTGGCGAAATGGCTGATACGGATAATCTTACCGGCGAACTTGTACCACGTCCGACACCGGACGTCACAGTAACTAATTCTCAGTTTGAATACATTATAGAAACTTCTTCAGACATTTGCTATATTTTTCAGGGTCGTTCATCGGGTTTTACCTATTCCACCGATGATCAATTGATGATAAAACCACTACATACTCGTCTGACCTCATCCGAAGATTTAGTTGATGATAAATCCATAGTTCAGGCTAAAGGAAATTATAAACTAATAAAAAATTCAGCAACTCAAGTATATAAAACCGTTGATTCTTCTCATGAGCGACATCGACAAAGTACAAGTCAACAAATGCAACCTGTTAATAAATTTAGTGAACTAAATTTAGCTCAGTTAGAACTGTTAGAAAATTATGATCCAGTTATATCCGAGAAGATTGGCGCTGCTTTTATACCTATACAAATACTAGCTAGGCCAAAAGATGCAGCTGATGTGTGTTCAATGACGATTAGTGAAATTGAACAAAAATATCCAAAGTATGTATTATCCCAACTTCTGTATTCCTTGAAAAGTGTCCATTGTAAATTAAAGACGTTTGTCTTTATTAGCATTTAATGTAATTAAATCAATAGCTCTTGATTTTCTGAGAGTACATCCAAATCGAACTTTCTTATCACCACCATTGCGATGACAATCGTTAAACAAATTTGCTGCAGGATCGTATAACGCGTTCACTGTAATACTTGTAAAATAAGATGCGATGTTATCACACGCATACAAAACACATTCGCGATTATCGAATATTCTACCACGATCGCTATTTTTTTCAGCGATTACACTATGAGACAATCGCTTTTCCTTACCGCCACTCTTATCTGTTCCTTTTTTCTTAGTGAAAAATTTTCTCAATTAAGTAAAGGTATGGCTACGTTTTCTGACTTGACCACGATGAATAATTAATGACTAAAATGTGATAAGACTTGGAAAATCAGGAAGTATATAGTATGGAACTAGCGAACAGTTTAAGAACAGCTGATTTATGACAGGATTCTTTCTCTGAATGTCTGACTGGTTTTCGATTCAAGAGACCGGAATTAATCGTATAGTTTTCGATGAATGATTCGCTCACATCGTTCTGATAAAATTAGGAATACTGTATAAGAATTGTTTCCAAAAATTTGAGAAAAAAAGTGGCAATGTACGACCTTCTGTTATTACAAAATGTCTTTTTCGGATTACGAGTTAGGATTATCGAAATAGTTTTAATTAAAGTAAATACTTATTCTTACTTACTCTTCTATTTATAAATCAGCCATAAATTAACGTAAAACTGTCGTTCTAATCTGCACAACGTATGGTTTTGAAGAGAACCTATTTCTCTGCATGTAAACTTTCAACTCAGTTTTCCAAAACTATAAGGTGTTTTAGAAAATCGTGTGATCTCAGTATCTTATAACCTTTGAGATGGAGACATACTCTGGATTCTGAAAACAGACAGATGCTTCTGCTGAAAGATGCTGTTTATCTCAACTAATCTGCTTCTGAGGGAAAAAAGAAATCTGACACTTGAAAATGTGAATTTTTTTACGTTTTCTGTGGAAATTTTAAGAACATCACACTATTTTGAGGAAAGAGCGTTGAGAACTTAGTAGACTCATATTTAAGCTCACACTCTCCTTCATATTTCTACATGATTGAGATAACTATGAAAATTTTATTAAAAATGGGAATACACCTAATCCATTTTAGGAAAGACGGTCGACCGGTATTTAATCTTCCTCGATCACATACATCAATTGATATTACCCAAACTCTTCAACTAACAAAATCAAAATGTTTACCTGCAAGATGTCAAACCGTCTTAAAACGCAAATCAAGTCAAGAAGAAATGAAGAAAGTTTTGAATATTGTACCCTACGAAAAGCAACGATCGCTAGTTGTTCGTACTGTTGTACCACCAACAACAAAGTCGAATGATACTGTACGACATGCAAATTCCACGAGAACATCATGGAAAAATAATCGCACAAATTCCAATTCAAGTGATGATAAAAATTATTTGAGTGTACTCGCAAGAACCTTAGAAGACCAATGGATTATTTTCGATCAGTAAGTCTATTAATAGAAAGCAGCTTGCATAATGCTTTGACACAATTGTGGTCGAGTTTTTGAAAGATAGTCGTTTATCTTCAAAAATATCAAGTTATAAAAAAACTATTTCTCAGCATTCCTTCAATTAACTTTCCAGTTGTGATCGACGTACGCTATTTTCAGATTAAAAGAAGAAGAGAGAATGCAATTATTAGAAAAAAATTTGAGTGTATTAAATATCCGAACAAAACAAGGTAAACATTAATAGAAATTTATCAGGTTTGTGTTCTGATTCCTATATGTTTTTAGAAGTTGCTCAAATGCGTAAAAGTCCTACAAAGAAACATCATAATGATATTAATCATACTATTCGTCTTCAAAAAAAATTACCAACAATTGTGGGAAATGATCGAAATCAAACACAACGGAATAAAATAAAACAACAAAGACTAACATCGAGCGTTTTTCTCACACAAGATTCAGTGCGATTACGTTTACATTAGCTTTAAAACGTTGTAAAGTATCAGATTTTTTTTTCTTGTAGTATGACATCGAGCAATCAACATCAATTTATTCTCTTGCGCGCAATGACATCGACATTAATCGCCCTTCGAAAGGTTTGATGGTGCAAAATTACTCTCAACGGTTATCGGTAGAAGAAAGCAAATGTCGTGATCAAGAACAAACGGCTGCTATCAAGATTCAAAGGTTAGTCTAATCGTTAGTGTTAACTAGTATTGTTGTCGACCAGCACTAAAATATTTATCTGAAACTTTTACTATCCATTTAGAATCTGTCCTCATGGCATTTACGTCGAAGGTAGAGATGTGCAGAGTAACTGTTTCTGGATCCCTAACTCTACCTTCTGGAAATTTTTTGAGCCCTACCCTGGGAAAATTTTAAAATTTTTTCATGACGATTATTTTTTATTTTTTTATATAAATTATACACACTAAAAAATAATGTGTCGCATGTGTCGCAAATTGCGACATATTCTGCGACACCGGGAGCCACTTGCGACACATTTTTTGCATTGAGGTTGCGCACACATTTTCATGCGACACATTCCGCTGGGTATTTCTGCCATAGAGAAAACAGTAGAAATTAAGTATTTTCGATCTCTTATTCGATTTTAAGAATATTTATAGTTCATTTTGGGATGTTCTACGTAATGTCAACAAGCTCAATCCACCAGTAATATTCACAGGCCTTCAAAATATTTAGTTTCCGAGATCTGGGATTAATGGCGTAGTCAAGGCCTCTGATCGGTTCTTTTCATTAGAGAAAAAATGTTTAACATAGAAAATAGTTAAAAAAGACCGAGAGAGGGATCTTTATCCACTAAAAACACCAATTCGAAAATGAAAACACTTAAAAAGTTGAAAAATTTTCTTATCTTTTATGCATTAGCGTCACCTATAGCACATCAAAACTGAAAAGAAGCCGAGAAAAATACTAATGAAGACTGCTGAAAATAGTAAAACATAAACTTTAGCAATTTTTTGAAGAGAGCAGATCCTGAAATGACCTCAAGAACTGTGTCTGAAAGTTCTTAGTAACGGCAACACAATTATGCTTTTCAATAGAGTTGAAGCCGAATTCCGAATATGCACCATAGTGTATTCTCGATTATACTTGAACAAATCTTTTGTACTCAGTGTCTTCTTGAAATGAAGATTCCTTCGACCTCGTCATTTCGCATTTTGGACATGATGTCAGATAAAGATACTGATATGAGATCACACGGGAGTGCTCTAAAAATGAGTAAAAACCTAGGCTTTTGAGCACGCTAAACTATGCTGTTTTGGGCTGTTGGAGAAAACCGTTTTGGTGCCAAACTCACTTTTGTCTTCTTTCGTCTCTATAGCTGAATGGTACTGATGTACTAATGTTCTAAGGTTTACGTCGAGTTTTTGATGAGACTCACCTTTTCTGTTATTATTATTTTTTTTTTTAAGCTTTAAACTTTTTTTTTTTGTAGTAGTTTTAGTGATACTTATGAGGATTTTTCTCAAAGAACCCTCACTCGCGCTGCAACATGTATTCAACGATGGTGGCGCCGTTACATTGTTCAAAATCGTTTGAAAAATCTTAAACAAGAGGCATGCGCACACACTCGAATCTTTTTTTTCGAAATTTCATGTCATTTTTCTCCGGTTTTAGGTAGCTCAAGCTGGTTTTACCTGATCTGATGTAAACAGCGATAATGAACCTATTTTAATAGACAAATCATAGATAGCTTATTTATTTAGCAGTGGCCGTTACTCATTTAGAGTCAACAAATATAAATATAATTCATTGTCAAATGAAGCAAAATAAAGATCAATAGCAAGGTCAAATATTAACGATAGATAGATACTTTAGAAATGGTACAACGGTGACAGTTTTTCATGAAAGTATTTTTTTTGATTGTACATGCAAGTTGTATTAGTCTGTAATATTTTTTTGTTTAATTCATGGATGTCTCTTTCTTTTTCTCACGTTACTTTTTATATGGAAACTTCTTTTATTCAAGTCTATTCATATATAATATGTTGTTATAACAAAATGTGCCTGAATTATCAGTCACTCGAACACAAAGCACAATGTTTTCTCATGTGTACAAAATAAAGTGCTTCAAAACTATTAGGTAATATTATTACCTAATTACCTATTATTAAATAATTGAAATACTAAAAATCCAAAGTACGACAGAAAGATGCAACATATAGGGTAAGATATATTTCAAATTACTTAGATATTTAAGAATACCCCTTTCCTCTTTTGAAGCTTTCTGTAGAAAGGCTGTCAAATAAAACCTAAAAATGACTAAGGCTTCATATTTCCAGAACTGATCGGAAACTCAGTGAAGCACTTTTTCGTTTTTGTTTCAAGTCTTCAGCTAAGACCGTTCGCGAGTTTTCTAGAAAACTCGGTTTTTCTTTGTGTCACATTACGACTCCCCTTTAATTTTATCCGATCGAGTTAAAAATTTTACCACAGGTACTTAAGATAATATCGCAGAGATACCTTTTATGAATTTTATTTTAAACCTTCCTTTACTGAGTTGTAGAGGTTCTAAAATTGAAAACCGTGGTATTTAAGACGTTTTTCAGTATTTTTCTTCGACAAGGAAAAGATAATGAAAAAATTCCGCAAAAATACCTCTGCAATATTACCTTGGGAACCTGTGGTAAAATTTTTAACCTGATCGGATGAAATTTAAGGGGAGTCGTAATGTGACACAACGAAAAACCGAGTTTTCTGGAAAAATCGCGACTGGTCTTAGCTGAAGACTTGAAATAGAAACGAAAAACTGCTCCACCGAGTTTCCGATCAGTTCCGGAAATATGGAGCCTTAGTCATTTTTAGGTTTTATTTGGCAGTATTCCTACAGAAAGAGGGGAGAGTACCCTGAAACTTGACTTGTTTGTACTGGATAAATTTGTTTTGCAACCGCTTTTTACATTATAGAAAAGTTCAATCTTGGAAACTTGAACTGTCTCTTACTACGAGTTTCCGAGGCTTGAATTTTTCTGTAACCAAAAAGCGGCTCCAATACAATATAACATATTTGAGATTAAAAGACAAAACTAGAGCGAATAGCATAAAGGGATGGACATCCTTCAAAGTTATGAGCGCTAGGACGCGATATAGGACCCGGGCTCTCTGTTGTGTCCATCCCTTTACTCAACACTCGGTTTTCGAAGAAAAAAATCGCCTTGAAAATTTTCTCTCTATGCGAAAAGACGAGTGCGTAATATTTCTGACAAAAGCTTTCGGAACCCTATGTTTTCATGATTGCGATGTACATTGAATGCAGATTCTATCGCAGAAAGGACAGCCATTAATTCCACACCCTTTCTACGTATGTTCCAATCGTGGGTGCTCGTTCTCGATGAATTTCCAGAACCACACAATAGCTAACACTCATACTTTGGCTAGATAATCTATAGACACTGTAGTCTACACGTGCGCGATGAACGTGCCAGAAACGAAAGAGAACGTTGTTTTACTTAAATTAGGAGATTCGCCGCCGATAACCAATTTTTACATGGCGCCGCCAAGACGGAGGAAATTTTCATAAATTCGCGTCGCCGCCGCCGAGGGCGGAGAAAATTTTTATAGTCTCGCGCCCTGTGTTAAAATTTTCATTCGCCGCAGTCGAAATTTTTTTATCGACGCACATGTCTGACTGTAGAGTCCTCGGTGCGAATTTGAAGTCAAAATAATGTCTCTAGACTGAATTGTGTATTTTTTTGTAAAGGACCTCGAATTTTCAACAAAAAACGCAACCCTCGCCCGTAAAATATCTGCATTTCACTGACCATTAACAGCCAACTCACGAAATTCATACCGTAAATAGAGTAGTCGTGGCTATATTTTGTAAAGAAAAAGTTTCCATCTCTCTTAGATCAGGAGTCATTGACATGACATTTTACGGGAAAATGAATCCCTTACATCTGGTGAACCATCCAGTAAAAGAGGTTTAAACTTAGTAGTGATCAGCATTTAGTGAGAAGTATGATCACAAAATTAGAAGTCACTGGCTGTCACGGTTCTTGAGTTACAGAGGGAGCGCTACTTTTGTGAAGTACTGTAGTAACTGAATAAAAAGATAATTTTCATTTTAATCCAGTTTAATCTGGAACTGACATTTTTTGCCCAAATACCATCACTTGTGCAAATAAGTTTCCATTTACACAGTAGATATAGGATACTTTTGTATTTTGTCCGCTATCATGATAAAATGGATTGCACATATTCTGAATCTATTTTTTTACCGCAAACTTTGAATATTCGACCTATCGAATACTACAGAGATGTTGTAATAGTACAAATAACACTAATCCGTGTATTTGAAAATTCTAAAGTCAAGAACATCCCTTGTTTTTTTAACTGTTTTGTGAGACGGAGTATGTCTTGCGGAGTGCTTGTAGAGTATTAGACTTTTAGAATTCTAATATTCTGCAATTGTAATATCTAAAGTGCTTAAAATGCAATATTATTGAGTTTGATTATCTACGTTTTATATGCACGGTAAAAGCGGTGTATACGAGAACTTTAGAATTCATAGAAGCATGATATAGTATTATTTTTCAGTTTCCGACAGCCCTCGAATTTTATCATGGATTTTCAGTTCTTTTTTTAAAGTACAGTTTGTCAGTGACAATGTTCCCAACATGCATGTTACACAGATATCCAGTGTGTGCTTAATACAAGGGTTATTGTCTAATTTGATTATAAACGATAGAGTATACTTCTCTAAAAATATGGTGACGGGATTTGTTACATACGCCAATATTAAGAGACATTTATTTCAAGGCGTTACGTTCTTCTGGTACCAGAGAGAAATGCTTCAAACTTACTTTGTCCTTAGATAGAAATCGTTTTCATCTAATGATTCCAAACTTAAAATAGAAAAGAGATGGTATGTTTGGCTTTTCTCTTAACATTATGAAAGAATTTATCCTAATTTTTGAAAAATAGCCAAAAATGCGCAAGTGTTATCTACACGATTACAATAGGGAAAAAATAAATAAACATTGATCATTTTTCTGTTTGTTTTTCATCTTCTTCTACTTCTTTAACCTGATATGATTTGATATAAATTGGTTTTGATATTTCATCTGTTATATATTCACTTTTATATCGTGTACGACTATGACTTGGCGGAAGTGACCAAGTTGGTAAATGGACCTGAAATGAAGTAAATGAAAAGTAATTAATCAATTCTCTATTAGTAGTTTAAATTTATCACAACACTAGCTTAATAGTTTCTATTTTCTAAACGGGTGTACATACCGGTCTTGGATATGGATTTTTGTAATGTATCGCTAGGTCGAGTCTTGCTTTTGCCTCTCTAATGTGCTCTTCGATTTCGGTTGCATCTTCAATCTTATAATGAAAAAACAGACATAAGTAAGAATTGAGAGTAAGAATATAACCAAAACGCAACGTACGGCTTTATTTTGTCTAAATAGCTGTCGTGCTTCATTTCTAATGTAAAGTCGTTCATTTTCTGTTTCATTAGTATTGAGTGCTTGCCAAGTTCGAGATAACTGAATAATACGTTTGTATAAATTTAACACTTTTAAATTAATTGCAATACTATTCATAGAATAAAAATCTTGAAAGAAAATTCATGCACAGGACCATATCCGAATATTGATGAATAAAACAGCTAAACATGTCTGCACAGTAGGATAGGAGCAACGACTATAAGATTTTATAATTATCTGAAATAGTGAAAAAGAAAGTGATTTTTGTTTCTACTAAAAGATAAATATTGCACACACTGACGTAATAAAGATATTTCAATCCAATAATACCAATTTTTCTGCTTTTATGTCTATGATAATATAAATTTTTTATTCATTGTTTAGCATTGACGTATTTTTTAGCAAAAAAAAAGACAATGGAAACTGCTCAATTATAAATTTATTTTATTAACTTATTGATAATTGTAAAGGCAAACTTTAATCGTACATTACTCAACATTTGAGTGGCTTTAGGTAGTTGAACCTTATACAGAAAATTCTGGGTATGTGACAAACTAGAGAAATGTCTCTGTGTTTCATGGACACTGGTTGTTGGTTTTAGTTTTTTTAATATACCACGTCGATCGGTCAGTGGAGTGAAACGTGTCGTAAGCCTTTCAGTAGATGTAAATGGATCTGACAAAGGTTTTGAATCAGCTACTGAATCTAATAACAATATATTATTAGCGAAATAATTTACTGAAATAAAAAGTTTCAAGAGGTTTTAGAGTTATGTTTACCTTTTGCGCATTTGTGTGCTAATTTTTGATAGTTTTCATAATATTTCAATAAACAAACTAGTATCACTGTAATATTATCAAAACCCACGCCGCTTCTCACAAGTTTAGATGGTGCTAGACATTTGTTCGCTAATTCCTCACATATTTCATTTGGTTTTTGTTGTTTAGCTATTCGTTGTCTCACAAATTTTAGTACATGCTCATTATTCATCACATCCCATATGCCGTCACATGCTATGATGAGAAACTCCCACTTATCATTTAAATCTTTAATGATAACATCAGGATATGATATTACTAATTGTTCTTGAGCAGATCGAGACTTGTTTTGTTTGTAAAGATAATCACCTGGAATAAATAAAAGATAAAAAACTGAAATCTGACTTTCTTAATCCAAACATAGTTGTTTCAACGCGTCTCCTTACCCAATGCTCTTGACATGGCTAAATTTCCCATAACTCGATTGTCTTCAACAAATCCTCCAGCTGATTCAATTCGTTTCCGTTCTTCGGCAAGGTCTGGTTTGTGATCTTTTGACAAAATTTCGGCTATCCCATCGATACTTCCGATTGCTCTTGAATCACCTACATTTCCACAATACAATTTATCATTTTTGATCAGTACACTAACAGCTGTTGTGCCCGTTAGTCCATATCTATATCAAAGAAACAAAAAAGACAACGTAAACTAAGTATCATTTATCCGAGAACTAAAATTGCTCACCAGATATTGCCATTTAAGCATGAGAAGGAACCGACGCAGAACTATAAAAGAGGCCTATGAGCACAAAAAACTTAGAGTATCCTCAATACATTTTTGAATATAAACTTGGCTATTCAACTTCTCTTTAAAACCTCGAACATATGAAGTGAGCATCGAAAACCTATGCTACAGCGGCTAAGAACGTGTTTTCCTAACTATTTTGCATCGGTGAATTCGTATTTATCTATGAGTATCTTGTTTGAATAATTTCGTTTCAGCTTACTTCATATTTTTGTTATCGTCTTGCATTTGCTTATCTAATTCTGTATAACCGTATTTGATAGCTTGTTCGATGTTTCCTTCTTTAAATTCTGGTTGTTGTAAGATGTACTTGTGTAAATGTTTTGAGCAATATCGAGATGCATTTGTACCTCCATGGCCATCATACACAGCAAAATAAGCAGTGGATTCATCGCCAGGTAATGTCAGTAAACAAGTATGTGCATCTTCCATCGAATTGCGCCATCCTTGCATCGACGACGAAGCGACTAAATAATCCGTATTTTCAGTCGTTAAAGTACATTTCTTTGTGACAGGTCTGTTTAAAATTTCACTCATTTTAGACACTTGCCCAGGTGGTCAAAACGATATGGGTTAACGGCAGTTTATTTTGGTAGAGCTTTGATGCATCTGATGATTTTGTAACACGTTCATCTCACAAATTTATTTTCTACACAAACTGCATGAAATAAACACATGTCATAAATAAATAAAAGGGTATAACTGACGTTCTTGCACCGTTGATGGGCTAATCGATGAACCAATCACAAGCTGAACACAATACTTTCAACGCTATGAGTGGTTTGTTTCTTTTTGCCTCTCAAGTTTTGTTTTTGGAGTTAGCTATTACCGTAACTAAAATATGATGTGAAACAAATCGAATATTATTGTTTCACATAAGAGACTGCGCCATCTAAGTAACTGACCACATTTGTAATCAACGCATTTTTCTAATTGACTAGAGGCCTTTAGCCTTGGAACCTGGTGCGGTTTATAGTACAGACAAGTGCGAAATTAATGTCCTTGCGAGAAGAATTTTCAAGAGTCTAGAGTAATGCATCGAGAACCACCAAGAACGGCTGATCGTTACCATCATATGAACCGTATCTCCAGCTGAACTGATTCCAGGGTTTTTATGACGTAACAAAGAATAGAAAACTCTTTTTTAGATTACTCTTGACGTATTCTCGCTTGTGTGTGTTACCACATTTGTTGTTAGATTTTGCCATTCAACATTCTCGGCTACCTGGTTCAGGAATATTAACCGGATTCCCTTTCGATTTAATAGAATACTTGTATATGTGTATGACTGTTCTTGGTTCAGAACCTGCTTTCGCGCGCATCTTAGGACTGACTGATCCATGTCCAAAAGCTGTTCACATGGAACCTTTCTCCACTTCACTCGTCAAAGTTCTCATTTAAATAGTTGCTATTACCACTAACGAGGGAAGGTCCCTAACTGATAAATCGCTTTTGAGTCGAAATCTAGTGGATTATAGGTTATCGACCATGCTGATTCCGAATACGATCATGGGGATTTTCCATAGCCCTCCGAAGGTCCGTTTTTCTGGAAAACCAGTTTTTCAGAATCTCTAAAAAATAACCAAAGCCTTTCTTAATGAGGTATAATTGTAGCCAGCAAATTTCTGATTAAAATGAAATATCTCCCAGCTCTACATGATCTTTCTTTGCGAAGTTATAGAATTTACAAGAAAAGCTCTAAATGTTCATCGTCAGCTTAAAGCTACAAAAATAAGAAGGAAAAATTAATTTAGAGCTTATGTTGCCAATTCCGGATCTTTGAAGGGCTATGGGGAACCCTCATGGTCATATTCAGAATCAGCATGACCGATAACCTTTAATCCACTAGATTTCGACTCAAAAGCGATTTATCAATCAGGGACCTTCCCTCGTAAGATCTGTACAAATGACTGCTCCAGTCACACTCACGTGTTAAGCTTTGATGCAACCATCTCAACCTTCCTACTTGTTATGACATAATTTCCATTTAAAGCACACTTTAACATAACAGTCAACTATAAGAAATTCGCTCGAGCGTCATTCATTTTTAGGACTAGTTGATTCGGCAGGTGACTTATTATACACTCCTTAGCGGATTACGACTTCCATGGCTACCGTCCCGCTGACTATATCAATCAACACCTTTTATGATTTTTTACGAGCGGAATCGTCTGACTCTTTAAGTTGACGTTTTGTGCATCCAACAGCGCCAGTTCTGCTTACCAAACCCACTTGACACTCACATTCAATGTTCATTCTCAACAAAGCAGAAATGAACTTCATACCTATTTAAAGTTTATCAATAGGTTAAGAACATTTTGTTCCTAAAGCCTCTAAACATTCGCTTTACCGGATAAAACTGTGTATTTAAATACGTGTCAGCTACCCTGAGGGAAACTTCGGAAGGAATCAGCTATTTATTGTATTTGCTCAGGGTATTATATCCGCCCTGAATAGCGAGCAGTCATAGAAAGACTGACTGTCGCGAATTGATTAACTAACACAGCCGGATCAAGAGCTCAAAAATAAAAAAACGGAACAGAAGAGAGAACTTGAAGTAAAAAGATGAAGTTGTAGCGGAAAAACACGACGTTATTCATGAAAAGGATGAAGTTCTTGTGAAGAAACATTAAGTTCTTGAGGAAAAAAGATGAATTTCTTATTATATTAATTTTATTTCACAAACGTCAATAAGAGCTGAACTTAGTATTTCGCGGCGTTAACTCTGTTTATTAGCCATTCAAAGAAAATTAACTTATTATTCCTGCTTTTGGCTCACTAGAGATTAGACGTACTCATTAGCTGAATAACTTTATTAGATCATAGAATAATGTATTCAAAGTATTTATGTATAGAAGCACTATAAAGATTCGTCGCATATATTATTAAGTGACGTTAAATAAATTGAAAATAGTCCCGTCGCGATTATTTATATTATACTATCGTTACTTCCCGAACTTCACACACTTTTAATTAATTTCGAATTGAAATCAAAGAATCTTCAAAGGTGGTGGGTGGATGAAGGTGTGCGAAGTTTGGGCATGAACCTATACTATTACTTTACATAAAAAGGACGATAAATATACTCGATGTTTGTTTTGTGACAAACACCTACTAGTTCAACTGACTCTATCTGATATTATTGATATTCATTATTGTATATGAAACTGATTTTTATAAATATTTTGTTCTTTTCCCATATTAGCAAACAAAATTAACTCATTCAATATGACGGACAAGAATAATCATGAGTACATTTCAATGCAAACTAATATAGCTCAAACAGCTGCAGGAAATTCAACACAATTATAACCAAAAACGCGACACAAACATCTTTTTTATATAGAGAGAAAAGAAAATATATATATATATATTTATATAGCACATTAAAACTATATCCACTTTGTCAACGTTAAGAATGATGATAACACTAATTGAAATATCACGCATCTGTTATTGAGTACAATAGAATATAGGTACCAGATTTTAATCTGAATGAAAACGATCAGAAGAATTAATTTATTAGTTAACATTCTGTTTTTCTGTCTCTTTGTTATTATATCTGGTATTCTCTCCATTTATCTCAGTATTTTTTCTTTTAACTGAAAATAAATCTGATATAGAATAATATTGACAAAGTGCATATAATAAATATGGTAAACATACAGAACAATACTTGTCTTCTTGATTTACACATCATCGTCTTCTTTCAAATGAACGAATAAGGTAAATACTGCAGTTCAGCTCAGAGCTGAGTCAGTCAAGTCAACAATGCCTCAAGTCCAAGTCAGACTTGACTTGGCAAACATTCTTAGCGACTCTGACCCATACTTGACTTGGGAAAAGATTTTTCCGGTCTTTTGACTGATTTCTAATTTTTGGCTGTCTCTTAAATCGTTTCAAGAGGGTATACGAATTTTTAATGCAAAGAAATGATATTAAAGATCTAGGTAGGGTTACTTTCTAGGCAGAGCTGGTGACTTGGCAAAAACTTTTAATACCTCCGACTTGACTTGATTGACTTGGAGAATCACACAAGGCTTGACACCAACCTTTCACATACGTGAACAGTATATGATTCAACAACATCGAATACAGATTACTAAATGATCTCGACCTTGTAACAATTCAGTGCTTTTTTATTACGTGTGTTGTATTTTCTATTGTCCAAGAATTGTGTATTTAGTGAGTCTATTGTTTATGAGTATTTGTAAAAGACGCCATCACCCACCAACACCCTCAAACTGCCTGAGCCCATCCCAGATCGATAGAGCACCCCAGTTAACCCTACACCAACATCCACCTGAATCTAAACCTGAGGTACTCTGAACGGAATACTACCACCAACACCTAGATTGAATCCAGGTTTACTATTTCCCTGAAAAATGTGTATATGACACAGTGTAATAGGCAAGGTCGTGCGGTAGATCGAGGCGTAAGCCGGCAGCAGCAGTGTAGGCCGATAGCTCTCGAAAGTAAAATGCACGCTTTTCCTCATCCGAAAAACCTCTAGGAAAAATAAAAGGTTTGTCCTACCGTTGAAGATGGCCTGATCCATGGTAAAACTAAGTGCACATATGCATCTGGATGTGCTTTATCGAATGGCGTCTGAACTAGATCTCTAGCTTGAAATCTTTCGGTTTTGTAGATTTTTTAGGTTTTGATCGAGAGATCGGTAAAGGATTTTGAGAAAATCTCACAATGGAAACTTTTAATTGGAGACTTCGCAAACCTCTGTGCTTGTTTAGTTTTTTTGCACCCTATCAAATGACCTTTGTCACGAAGTTCTACCACAGCTGAGTTATTCGGATTTTAAGAAAAGTTAAAAACTAAAAATTTAATTTAAAGATTCGAATTCTGAGCTGCAAACTTGAGTTTTTTTCGAAATGACGGCCATTCTATCCTGAATTTAGTGGTGTTTTCAGAGTTGTCGTATCTTCATCCGTTTATTTTTAAAACGAATTTTATTGGAAACCTGTAAGTGGAAACCCACGGTTTTCGGGAAATCCTACTTGGGCGGGTTTTGGACAAAAGTGTCGACTAGACAAAAGAAATGGCATGGTCTGAAATGCTCAAGTACCAAGTTTCATTATGATCGGATGATCGACATAAAAGTTAGCCTAGACCAACTTTCTCATGTAACACGCCTATTCTCGATTGATCGAGTCCCTACCAAAAATTATTTTTTTCGCTGAATAAAACCGTTTTCATAATTCACGGATGTGATATACATAATCAGGAGCTTTGAATTTATATGCATAGATGTCTTGTGAGGTGGATATCAAAATAAAAAAATTTTAACTTACCCTTTAAGTGATGCTCCTGGGATAAAGTACGTGATGAAGGGTGAAGGCTCTAAATATGTGATGTACCCACGTTTCTACAGGTAACTCAGCGTCCTAAATACTGTGAAGAGAATCAGTAGGTTCAAATACCCGTCCATCTGGATGTTG